TTCCACCGATTAATTGCCTCCAAAGCCGTTCGGGAGCTTGATTGAAGGTTGAATCTGTGTGGGGAACGCTTGGAGGTGAGTTTTTAATGGTTAGGGTTCCATTTCTCATCCGCATTTCTCTGTTCCTCGGTTTCTTGGAGTTCTCATGGAGTTCTTCCATGTGTTTAGGCCGTAATCTGTGTAGGGAGCACGTCCGTGGTCGAATCCGAGTGTGGATCTTCAATCTAAGGTAAGGGGAGACTCTATCCTACTCTTTGCGCATGAATTGTTGTTATTTTGCTGAATATTGAGTTGTGGCTGAGTTAGAAGGTTGAAAATTTTCAGAGAATGAAAGTTGATTGAGAATTGTGATGAGGGCATGTGCCGTGAGATGTGAATATTGTGTGTGTTTATCCGAAATGGATGAATGTGAATTGTATGCTAGATGTTGCATGATAGAATGAATATTGTGAACAAATGTGGGCTCGAGCGCCATGTAATATAGATGAATGTTGGCCATGTGCCGTGTGTGAGCCTAATTATTGCGTGTGTGAATGAAATGTATGTGACTGGGACGTGTGGCGCCGTTATAATGTGCTGTGAATGATTCAGCGATACACTAGGGGTGTGAAAGATGAGGACGGTAGAAATACCTTGGGGAGGAGAGAGTGGTGGTAACACCAATTGCGGAACGGGTGCACCACGGGCCACACACTCTCTTCCTGACTAGACCTCTGACCAGTACCTTTGCTGAGTGACCCGTGACTGCCCACGTGGTATTTGTGAGGCAGGGTAACCAGCGACCATTCATGGTGTGAATCTGTGATCACAGTGCCACAGTGAGCGTGGTTGGCATGCATATACACGGGTTTATGAATTGTACTTATGGATGTAAAGTGTTGCCGATGCCGTGAGTGCATCGGTGTTAAATTAACATGAGTTGTGTGATAATGCTGCCTGTGATTGTATTTGCTTAATGTATTGGTAATGTGCTGGAGGTACGACTCTATGCTGACTATGTGCTTTTGGGTAGTGTAGAGTACTCACCCTTACATTCATTTTTCAGGTAATCAAGACGATCAGCACCGGAATCAGTGAAGGGACGGATGGACTGCTATAGGACATAGAATTTATTTTGAAAATGTTGTAATTGAACTAGTCCTGTAGCACTTAGTTGATATTAATTTGTAACCCTTCTCTTATTTTGAAGTATTTTATGAAAAATTGGTTATTTAAATTTGCAAAATTTCTATTTAATTGAAATTAAATTAAGGTGTTACAGAGAGAAAGGTGCACAATTCCTATGAAGAGGTTAGAAACCAATTCTGATGATAAGATGTTGAAACTGGGCCTAGAAAAATTCAGAAATATGTACTCACGATTTTTGACCTAGGTGCAATATTTGGGCCATATCTCAGTTCACAGATGTCCGTTTAAGCCCATTCTAGTTGCGTTTTGAAGCTAATATACAGGGCTACAACTTCTCTTCATATCAAAAATCGAATCGGATAGATATTCATGGCCAAAAATACCACAATATCTTCTTGATTCAGCATAGATACTGGGCCGCAATTACAAGCATAACTTTCCCCCAAAATTCAAACTTGAACAAATAAGGATTCCAGAGACAACTATTGAGTAGAGGATTAATGTAATTGAATAATTATTCGGTTGATGTATGTAATTAATTTTTTAAGGAAAGTGAATTAGATTTGCAGGTTTGAGATCTAAGATTAATGGCATTGGTGAAGTAAATTAATACAAATCAATTAAGTTCTAGAGGTTTCTAAACATTGAGCGATTGTGTGTTAATCAAATGCATGAAGGTTTTCATGTGAATGCTTAATTTGAATTGAGGTTTCATTTGAATTTAATGTTAATCACTAATTTGTTGGCTGATGCATCTTTTTGGAATCCGGTGATAGAATGATCATAGTTCTTCTAAATTCTTGGATTAGAGTTTTCAATTCTTGTTAATTTTTCATTCTAATCAGTGTTATTTTATAAATCAAACCCCATCCAAATTCGTAATTGTATAACATTATCATCATTGAGAAGCGACTCAGATTGCACCTCTTACTACATAATTTTTATGCAATTTAGTTTTTAATAATTTGTCTGAGCGCGACACTCGTGATCACATACACCTTTGAAATGTGGCTGGAGCATTACAAAGCTCAAAAGGCATCCTTCTATATGCAAATATTCCAAAGGGACAAATAAATGCAGTCTTTGGTTGTAGCCAGAATATCCATCTAAAAAGCAGTAAAATGCATAGCCAGGTAACCTTTCTAGCATTTGGTCTGCAAAAGGTAGAGGAAAGTGGTCTTTTCTGGTCACATCATTCAGCCTTCTATAGTCTATGCAAATCCTCCATCCTGTAACTGTCCTTGTAGGTATCAGCTCATTCCTCCCTTTTTAGGTACCACTTGTATAGGACTCACCCAGCTGCTGTCTGAAATAGGATATATAATCCCTGCATCTAATAGTTTCATGACCTCTTTTCTTACTACTTCCTTCATGGCAGGGTTTAACCTTCTTTGAGGCTGCACAACTGGTTTAAAATTTTCCTTAAACAAAATTCTATGTTTGCAAAAGGCTGGATTAATACCTTTCAAGTCTAAAATGCTCCATCCTATTGCTGATTTGTGTTCTCTCAGAATTCTTAGCAACTTTTCTTCCTCTTCTTCCTTGAGTTCATTGCTGAAGATGACTGAATTTTCATAGTTTTGATCCAAGAACGCATATCTCGAGTGAGAAGGTAGCTGCTTGAGCTCCAATTTCTGATTTTGCTCTTCTTTCACTTCCTTTTTTAGCTCTTTTATGATTGATTTTTCTGTAAAAGTTAAAACTGATTAAGGAGCCATATTGAAAGGGGGTGGCATACATGGTGGTGGGGAGTGAGTAGGGTTAAATGGCATTTGACCTTACATGAATTGGGGTAGTCCCTGACCCCCTGTCAACTGTGTCACTACATTGGTCAAATGTGCTACCCAATGCTTCATGTTTTGCCACACGGTAGATGAAGGATGTGGACATGAACCTAGCCCAAATGCAGATTTTTGGGTCACCCCAAAACCTACAGCCCAAACGCGACCTGGATGCTCTCTTACACCAAGTGCTTGAGAGAGTATGTCATTTCGGGTTGTTGATTCAGTCTCAGCGTCTGGAGTGACCTGTGAAAGAGTTTCCTACAATAAAGATAACAATTAACCATTAGGTCATTGTAGGAGAATTCAAAATTAAACTGAACATATTTGAAAATACTAACACATTTGTATTTACAACTTACAAATTCATTGACCATTTTTTTAACTCCTTCATCATCAATGCTACCTTCTTTATTTACCTTAGCAGCTTTCCAAAGGACATGTCGAGGTACTGAGGTCAAATTAGACCCAGATGTAGCAATCTACACAAAATTAGACCCATTAAAATCCCTCGTTAATAGGTTTAACATAGGACAACACATTAGCATCACATTGTTACATAAGACACAAATATACATACCAACTCTTGCTCTAACTGAGCATATCCCTTAGATGATCTCCTGTATCTGTATGACATTCCTTTCGCCCTTTGTGCATTAGCTTCACTTTCTTTCTGAAATTAGGCATTCAGAAACGTACCCTATCAATACAAATTGTGATGGTGATAGTAATTTGAAGTAATGATGTGTGACATGGTACCTTGAAAGTCTCTGTGCAGCTTTGGTTGACAAAGTCCATCCAGTGATTAGTGACTGTGATAAATCTTTGATACTTCTCTAGAGGATGGGGGACATAATTTCCATCTTTGTCACAGATATGTTTTCTCAAACATGTCCGGAATGCACGAAGGTCCCGTCCAGCTAAAGATAGAACAAAATCTTTGTGAACAGGATCCACCTCAAAAGTTTGCTACATTGGAAACATTAAACAATATCAGATAAACCCTCTTCAGTAAACCAATATGCAATAACTAAAACGATTGGTCTTGTGTACCTCAACTTGCTCCCAAATGTGGTCTTTAACATTAGTAGGGACATTTGTCCAATCAGAATAATTGATTGGCACTGTACTCCTAGTAACAAAGCCAATAAAGTGTGCAAACTTTGATCTGTTAGGGTCTATCGGTTGACCCTTTCCATTCCAGCCAACCTATATGCAAATATAAACCATAAAGTCAAATTAGTGTTTGATGATTTAGCATAAAAGATTCCTACAATATCATTACAAAATTCATTGATGGTGACACTTTACCTGTAGCTTTTGTCCTAACTTTCTTGATTTGCTAATGGACTTAAGTTTGGTAATCCCTCTACCCTTTTTCTTATTTGCCCCAGCGGAGTCAGGAGGGGGACTCCAGTCCATGTTATCTGAAGAAGTCATCTCTGTAAGAAAAAAAGTAAAGGTTAGATATAAATTAATACATTCAGGGATAAAGTAAAATAGTAAAAACAAAATATAATCAATTCAAAGAAAATAATAGATGCACATTTTTCTTTTTTTAGGAGCCTTACTAAGTTTCATATGAACTTTTATTGAATGAAATTACGGATTTCACTAAATGCCCTCTTCATGATCATGTCTTGCATAAATATCCTCGTCATCTGTTAATGTATCTGCAATTGACATGTGTTCAACACTCCTCAAAGGATCGTCCTTGACATTAACTTCTTCTTTTGTTAATTCTCCATCGGTGAAAACATTTATTTTATTAGACGTTAGGACAATTGACCATGACTTGTCTGCAGGATCTACGATGTAGAACACCTGTCCAGCCTGTGATGCAAGGATAAACGAATCATCTTGGTAACCGACCTTTTTAAAATCCACCCTTATAAAGCCCATATCGTCAATGCAAACACCACTGTTGTTGTCCACCCACTTGCATCCAAAGATTGGTACACGAAAGTTAGTGTAATCCAACTCCCATATATGTTAAATGAATCCAAAGTATGACATTTTTGCATATATTGGATTTTTATCCTTTGCACTGGAGATATGCAATGATTCAGCAACCAAAGTGACCCCACTATTCTACATTGTGCTTTGGTTGTCATGCTGTTTTGTGTAAAATGTGAACCCATTTACTAAGTACGAAGTGTATGAGAAGGCATCAATACAAGGACCTTTTGACAACCATCGAATCAATTCTGAAACTGATGTGTTCCTCTGTTTCAACTGTTCACCAACACGTTCTTGTAACCATCCAATGAATCGCACATTATGTTCTTTTGTTATCCAATTCTTACCTCTGGTAGGATTTCTACGCTTCAGTGTCTCTTTGTGCAAGCTTATGTATGGTTCAATTTTAGGGGTGTTTTGTAATACATACAAGTGTGCTTGTTCCCATTGCAGCCTAGGGACCTCTATTTGTTGACAACCACTGCTACCTTCCCCTAAAGTCCTTCCATGGTGACGTGATTTTGGAATGCCACATGATTCAACATTTGACAGATATTCAGAACAAAATTCCACTGCTTCTTCCACTAAATATCGTTCAGTAATACAACCCTCTGGTTTGCTTCTATTTTTAACATACCCTTTTAAAATCTTCATATATCTTTCAACGGGATACATCCATCGCATATATACAGGGCCACACAATTTTGTCTCTTCAACCAAGTGAATAGTCAAATGAACCATTATATCAAAGAATGACAGTAAAAAATACATTTCCAGCTCACATAAAGTTTCAGCTATTTGGTTTTGCAAACTTGGTAATCTCCCAGGATCAATCACTTTGCTACATATTGCCTTGAAAAAGAAACACAACTTTGTGATTGCCATGCGAACCTTTTTGGGTAGAATAGATCGTATAGCAACAGGAATTAAATTCTCTAATAATATTTGGCAATCATGAGACTTCAGACCTTTTAACTTTAGGTCCTTAAGTGATACAAGACTTTTAATGTTTGATGAATATCCCTCTGGAACCTTGACTGAATAAAGAGTCTCACATAAAGCACATTTCTCATTTCTAGACAGGGTACATGCTGTTGGCGGTAAAAAAGTCTGCTTTCCTTTCTTCACTGGAGCCAAATCGGATCGTATTCCCAACTTCACCAAGTCAAGTCTTGCATTGATGCCATCTTTCTTCTTTCCCACGATGTTTAATAACGTACCAATCACACTTTCACAAACATTTTTTTCAACATGCATAACGTCAACAAAGTGTCTTACGTATAAAGATTCCCAGTACGGTAACTGAAAGAAAATTGACAACTTCTTCCAACTTGCGGTTGGAATTTGTTTGGTAAAAGGTTTTCCAAATGTTGTTCTTATGTGTTTAACCTCATCAAATATTTCTGATCCACTCTTCAAATAAGGACATCGTCGTACTTCGCAACTTCCATTAAAAGCTTTTTTCATTCTTCTAAAAGGATGATTTTTTGACAACCACCTACAATGCCCCATGAAAACATTTTTGTGACAATGGTCTAGTCTTATATAATCTGTTTTTTCCTGACATATTGGACATGCACATTGACCTTTGATGCTGTAACCAGAAAGATTTCCATATGCAGGAAAGTCATTAATTGTTCCGTACAACATTGCCTTCACAATGAAATTTTCATCTCTAAATCCGTCATATACTTCTATGCCATTATCCCACAACAACTTCAAATCTTCAATTAAAGGAGACAAGTACACATCAATGTCATTTCCAGGTCATTTAGGTCCAGAGATTAACAAAGAAAGCATCATATATTTTTGCTTCATGCAAAGCCATGGAGGTAAGTTATACATTATTAAGATCACAGGCCATGTACTATGGGTGCTACTTTGCATGCCATGTGGATTCATTCCATCGGTAGCTAATGCAAAATGTATATTCCTTGTTTCAGTTGCAAACTCTTCATGGTCATTGTCAAATTTTTTCCACTGCAGAGAATCTGCTGGATGCCTAAGCTTTCCATCTCTAATTCGGCCTTCAGCATGCCAAGTCATCTGCTTTGCATTATCTGCACTGCGAAAAAGATGTCTTAACCTCGGTATTAGTGGAAAATACCACAAAACCTTCGCAGGTGTTGTCTATTTCTTTAGGTATCGTGATACATTACACTTTGGACATCTCCTTAGTGATGCATACTCATTTCGGAACAAAATGCAGTTATTAGGACAAGAATGTATCTTCTCATGGGTCAATCCAATGGAAGCAAGTACTTGTTTAGCCTCATATGTTCTCTTCGGTAGCACATTATCCTCCGGCAGCATCTCATGTAATAAACTTAGCAGCTCTGTGAAGCTCTTATCAATCCATCCATTCGACGCTTTTAAGTTATAAAGCTTTAAAACAAAACTCAATCTTGTGAACTTTATGCATCCATTATACAATGGTGTTTCTGCATCATCTTTCAGCCTCTCAAACATCTTTGGACAATCTCTATGATCTTCTTCAACAACATTTGGAATTTGTTCAGCATGATCGCTCTCATTTGTTCTAAATGTCTCTTAGTAATTGACACTTGATTCCATGTTAGTTGATGTACTTCCACCTTGTATCTCACCATGCTTTGTCCAACAAGCATATTTTTCATCTATCCCATTGCACATTAGATGTTCTTCCAATTCTTCCGCATTTACTTGCAACATATTCAAACAACACCAACAAGGACAGGGAATAAGGTTGACATCACTTGCATTCTTAATCGCAAATCTAATAAACTCTTTGACTCCGTCTTTGTATTCTTCACTTAAACGATCAACTACCATCCAACTTCGATCCATATTTTCTCCAACTACGGTTACGATCATTATAAATGTGAATTTCTTATTAACTCTCAGATGGTAGGGCCCTATCCCATTTGAGAACAAACTTTTTCCAATCTTAATTAACAAATGCTACTTAAATGTTGTATTTTTTACTTGACAAAATTTGGGCAGCATTTCGCATTAGTCTCCTAGTACACAACTTGAAATATATGAGATGATTTACCTCAATCAAGCATGCACCAAGAGACAATGAGAAATGTTTCAAACCCAAATTTTGTTAAGTATTAAATACAACATTATGAGAAGCAAATGCTAACAAATTAATGAATAAGTTTGTTCATAAACTGTCCAACTTGGACAATTTGAGATTCAAAATAATGATTTATTTAAACATTATTTTCAATCTCAAACGGGAAACTATAGTTTCACTCAATTTTACAATAGTAAATCATAACCTACAAAGTTTCATCACTAACAATAATCATGCATTCATCACATTCTACAATACAACATCAAATTCATTCATACACAGAGGGAATATACATTTTAGGAGCAAAACAAACAAGAATATCAAAATTTTTAAATGCCTAATATCATAGGTTAATAAACACAACAACATGCTCTTCCATTATAACTAACCACCTGTGTCCTAATATTATGTTCAACAAATCCTAAAAAACCATTCCAACAACTTTTCAGAGGTTAACAAACTAAGATTCAACCTGTCCATATCAACTTTTACAAAATAAAAAGTCATTTCATGCTCATTTGTTCACGTGGCAGCAATGGTCAACATGTAAACAACATTCAGTTCATATAATTTCTAAACACAACAGCATGCACTAACCTGGAATTAAGAAACGAGTGCAAATTTGTCACAGTTCAGCAGGAGACCAGAAATGGAGGAGACGTTGTCACTGTTCAATGTAAAAAACAGAGGTACGTATCAGTGAACAGAGAGAATGAGGGACTGCGAATGTCCAAAAATGGCTAGAAAACAAAGAAAAGATTATGAATATACCTTCAATGTGCGATTTTGATGTCAGCTGTGCTTGTTCCTCTGCAAAAAATTTCTCAAAGAACACTCAAACACAGAGAATTTGGTGGGGCGACAACGATAACACAATTAGGGTTTCAAGAATACAACTTCTGAGAGCGGTTATGAAATAACCGCTCTCTAATATAGACATCTGAGAACGGTTAATATGGAACCGCATAACCGCTCTCTAATATAGACATCTGAGAGCGGTTAATATGGAACCGCTCTCTAAAATAGACTTCTTAGAGCGGTTACTTTAAAACCTCTCTCATAATTCTATTTTAGAGAGTGGTTCCTTATGAACCGCTCTCAGTAGTCCATTTTAGAGAGCGGTTCCATATGAACCGCTCTGAAATGTCAATATTAGAGAGCGGTTCCATTTGAACCGCTCTCACAAGTCCATGTTAGAGAGCGGTTCCATATAAACCGCTCTCAGAAGTACATATTAGAGAGCGGTTCTGCCGGAATCGATCTCTTAGATTTATATACAAAGCAGTTACTACTAACCGCTATCTAATTTGGCGCTCAAAAAGCCAATTTTTGGCATAGTGATTGGCCTTGTCTCTCAAAGAAAATGGAAATACCCTCAATCTTATAGCATCTTCACTCACTCCATTCATCCTTATAGTGTCACATAATTGCAGAAAATTAGAAATATGCAAGTTAGGATCATCAGAAATTTCACCAGAAAATTGATCTTGTTGTACCAGAATCCAGTGATATAATGGTCATAGTTCTTCTAAATTCTTGGATTAGAGTTTTAAATTCTTTTTAACTTTTTATTTTAATCAGCATTATTTTATAAATCAAACCCCATCTAAATTTATAATCTTATAACATTATCATCATTGGGAAATGACTCATATTACACCTCTAAATTCAGTTTTTAATAATTTGTCCGAGCGCTACACTCGCGATTAGAAAGATTACTTAGTCAAACACAAAGAAGATGAGCATTTCAGAGAGAAAATCGGGAGTTTAAGGTTGGGAGTGTGTGCGCGCTCACTCTTTGTTGAATATGTAGTCACGCAGATGCACGTGACCTCTTTTAAAAGGAAAAGTGAACGTTACAAGGGTGAAAGCAGCGAGCGTGTTCACTATTTTTGGAAAAAGTGAACATTCCAAACTTTATATGGTGAGCGTGGTTACTATTATTGGTGAAACCAAGTGTTCTAGAGAGCTATGTATTTCTCAAATTTTTGAAATGAACTGTGCGTTATCACTATTTCTGGGAAAAGTGATAACGTGCAAGCTTACTCTCTAAGCATGATTACTATTTTGAAGAATAGGAGTAACGCGCAAACTAATATCTCTTACTTATCTGCGCGTGGCCACTTTTCTCAAGAAAAGTGGTCATTCTAGAGAGAGGTGTCTCCCTTAGACATCTGCGTGATCACTTTTGTCAGTAAAAGTGATTGTTCCAGAGGGGTGTGTTATCCTTCGTGCCTCTGCGTGATCACTTTTATCAGGAAAAGTGATTGTTCCAGAGTGGAACATTAAACTGCAGCTTCTGTGTGACTCCTTTCTTGAAAAATAGTAACTCCTTTCATCAATCCAAGCTTTTCAGGAACTCAAATACCTCACTTATTGAACTCTAATCCTTTCACTACATGCTCACAAACTAAAATCTCAATCCATTCAACAGATTAACTTCAAAATACAGAAAATGCAGAATCACAAAAGAAAAATTTTGCAGAAATTAAATGAAATAAATATCAACAATTCTAGTAAACTACAAACAAGATAAAATGGTTCAAAAATGTGAGTTGCCTCTCACAAAGCGCTCTTTTAACTTCACTAGCTTGACGTTAAATGTTCCTCACTGCTAAGAAACCAAGTTAATGCAGACAGTATTCATGTTGACTTCTTCTCCATGGTAGATCTTTAGCCTTTGGCCATTGACTTTAAATTCTCTCCCTTCTTTTTGATCTTTAAGTAACATAACACCAAAAGGAGAGACTTCTTTTACTATGAAAGGTCCTGACCATCTCGAGTTTAGCTTTCTAGGAAATAACTTAAATCTTGAATTGAAGAGCAGAAGTAGTTTAGCTTTCTAGGAAATAACTCACGCATGAGCAGAAGTAGTCTTCTAGAAGCTTCTATAACTGAATTAGGAACTCAAATCGTCCAAAGTTGACACTTAGAAGTGATAGTTAAAATTCTGTTACTTTTGCCTAGACACTTTAAGTGGTTAAAATGTCTACGCGCAAGTGTTCTACATGGAAAGATCCTTATGCGTAGCTACTCTCAGCGCTTGAAGTGGCTACGTGCTTACTGCATAACTACTTCAAGCACTTGAAGTGGCTACGCACTTAATTGCGTAGCTACTCTGAACACTTGAAGTAGCTACCCGCACTGTACATTTCTGAATTGGCCTTGGGCGTAGCTACTCTGAACACTTGAAGTGGCTACGCACTAACTGTGTAGCTACTCTGAACACTTGAGGTAGTTACTCTCTTGATCTTCATGAATTTTCTTCTTCAAAGTGTTCACTCTATGTACTCAGAGTGATTACGCCTTACACATAACACTTGATTCTTCATCTTTTAAGCTCAATTCCTCTACTTTCTTCACTTTAATCTTTAACTCAAATTCTCAGCTCAAACTTTCGTACAAGGATTAAGTCATTTTAAATAAAATTGTACAGAATTGGACTAAAAATCTAAAAATCAAAACTATTTACACAGTTATGAATATTGATGCAATTTTTATGATATTTCCAAGTTTACTTAGCACTTTACTACTTATTTATTAATAAAACTATACTAAAAATTATGGTAAAATTTGAATTTATCACCACCCCAAACTTAGAATTTTGCTTGTCCTCAAGCAAATCAAATCATATAAAGGGAAAAATTCATCCACTAATTGAAATCAAGCAACAAAACTGACTTTTTTCAACAATTTTTTATTTTCTAGTTTTGTGTTTTCTGATTTCTCATTCTCAATCAAGTTATTAATCCATTCAATCATCATGACAATCACATTGCATTAGTTACATAACCAACAAAAACTTTTCATCTAAGTTCAAAATAATTTAGCAAAGTTTCATGTGAACAAAATTGAAAAACATGATTCACAACTCACAAGTAGTGTTTTCCTCATCACTCAACAGTGTTTAGGCTTAATATTTGCTCTTAAAATCATCATTTTTACTACACTCTACCATAGGCTTGCAAATATTCTCAATCTCCTCTGCAAATATACAGCAAGTCACATATCAAAAGGACTTTTTCAGGTGAAAATAAGGTTAAAGGACAGGTAGGTGTTCAATCAATTTAGGGAAACAATGTGGTTACCTCTAAACAGAAAAGATGCAATTCAAGTAGCTGAATGTTCAAAACTTAAATTGAGGTTACCTCATCTTTTTCATTCATCCAATTCTTGTACAAAATTTTTAACTTTATACAACATTTAAAGAATTATCATTGCATCAATTATGCAAAGAGTTTATTTTTCAATTCTTTTCTGTTTTTCACATTTATTATTTCTTCTTTTCAACACTTTGCTTTTCATTTTTCTTTTTCAAATACTCAAAGCTTTGTTGCTACCCACCCCAAACTTAGAACTTTGCTTGTCCTCAAGCAATGCAAAACAAGATGTCACCCTAAACTTAGTT